GTGTGTGTCATGAATAGGGCCATTGTGGATCCTTGAAAGGTTGTTGGCCCAGTATGGGATGATCATAATTGTCTTGGGGTACGTTGGTGGGTCTAATATGAATGTGTGGTCTACATCAGGTCGGATGTATTCGTTCGACATAACATTGCTTGCGGAGGAGTCTTCGGTCATTGAATGTTATTCCCGTCATCAGCTATTCCATGTAATACTCTATTGTGCCATGTGGGTTATTAGACGGGTTGATTATTCGCACATGTGTTATGATCCCGTGTAGCTTGTGGTGTTATATGAGCAGGATGGATATCGAGATGCAGGTCATTTATCACCCCTTAGTTGTGCTTGGGTTTTGTAGCGTATGACGCTATCCGTCTCCCCAGGGTTATATTTTTGCACTTAGCGCGCTTGTAGTGGATATTCGGGTATTTCGTAGGAACAAACATTATGGCTTGATGGGCACATACTTATTTATTGTTATGTGTGGATTGGGTGGCACGCCGCCACGAGTATGTTGTTTGGATCGGGTTTCACCCTGCAATGATATCATGTTTGGATCGAGTTGCACGCTGCAACGATGTCATTCTTGGATCGGGTTGCACGCCGCAATAATGAGATATTAAGTTAGGTTCCCTATACTTATTTTTATGTATTTTGTTTCTCATTCTCTGAGAAAGGTTCATAGCATCTTTTCGGTTGTTTTATTCGTTACGCTAGCTGGGATGGGTAGTTCTTTTCCAGAGTTCGTTCTTCCTTATGTGTCATATTCGAGTTATAGCTTGTTGGGGCTTCGATGACGCTGTATGAGATTTTAGACGGTATGTGAGGTGGCTTATTACCTAAGCAACTTATACTGGGTGAGACAAGGTTATTGGACCTGAGGTCATTGCGATCGGATTTATGTAGGGTATATTAAAGAGAAAATATCGTTATTTAGTTCAGAATAAGGTAATGATTCTTGTCAGGTGGATAGACCCCCATGATTTATTTATTTGGCAGGTGGTAATAAGTTTATACGCATCTCTTTCGTCGTGGCAACACTGCGAGAGTTGGAATAGGGCTTATATGTGTTATGAGGTGTATTGCGGGCATCAAATTTGTGGAATTTCAGCTATTGTGGTCGGAGGATATTATTATGGGCAGACGACTTATGTGGTGTGCATGGTGTGATTTCAGCATAGGTGCATGATCACGTTTTGGTACAGTGTGTAGGGATTGATGTGATGTTCGTATGTTAGAATCGGGTCTCATGGAGAAATCCGGATATTGGAATTTGGTTCTAAGGCTTGTTAACTAAGGTTATATGGAGGATCTTCAGTATCCCTCGAGCTAATGTGCTCACATGGGTTGTGGTGGCACTGGAAGGTGTACGAGGTGTTAACCAATGATTTTGGACAAATCCGGAACGGTCCTTGACACGTTCGAGGACGAACGTATGTTTAAGTGAGGGAGAATGTAACGAACCGACCGGTCGTTATAAGATCTAGCGCATTGCTTGGCATTTTGAGGCCTTGAGTAGCTTCACTTCATGTTTTACAACTTGTACGCGTAGTCGGAATCGAATTTCGGGAAGTTCAGAGTTGATTCGAATGGAAAACCCTAATTTCGTAAGCTTTAAGCTGGGAGAATTGACTAAGGTTTGATTTTTGAGTTAACAACCTCTGAATCGGGATTTCAAGGTTTCAATAGGTTCATATGATTATTTCGCACTTAGGTGTGTGTTCGGGTTTAGTATCGGGTGGTCTGGGAGCATTTCAGCGCTTATTATGGAAAGATGACATTTTAAAGGTTTTAGAATTTTATAAGTTTGGATTGAAGTGGATTTTAATTTTATCAATGTCCGTTTTAGGTTCCGAGCCTTGGAATAGGTTTGTATCTTGATTTGTGACTTGCACGCAAAGTTTGGCGTTATTAAGGAATGTTTAAGTATGAATCGGACGCGTTCGTCGAAGTTTGAATGTTTGAAAGTTTAGAGAAGGTTTCAATCATCGATTCATGATTTTGATATTGTTTGGTGTGATTTGATGCCTCGAATAGGTTCGTAGTATGTTTTGGAACTGGTTTGTGTGATTGGATGGGGTCCCGGGGGGCCTCGGTTGTGTTTCAGATGTGTTTGGATGGTGTCGTGTTCTTATTTGATATTTCGGCATCGTTTCTTTAGGCATAAAGGGAACTATATTGACCAAACGGTATTTTATTTTTGATTAAATTAAACCATTAGATCCGTATCGTAATTACGGAGCCATAGCAATAAGAATCGTCAAATTCCGATATCGTATGAGGGAGTTATGCCCATTTCCGTGTCGGACAAAATTGTTGGTTTCTGGTGTGAAGCTTTGTTCTTCGTGAATGCAAGAGAGGTGCCGAGAACATGAAGAAGGATTTTTGGGTTGACCGATCAATGTGAAAAATTGCTCTTCGCGAACGCGAATGTCTCCCGCGAAGGCGATGAAGAAAAATCATCTAGACAGTGTTTTAAATAGTATCTTGGGCATATCTTGAGTNCAGTACACTCTTATGGGAGCGAGTCATTCGCCTTGACAGTATAATAGATGCATATATGGTTCATGCCATTCGACCCTCGGCAGAGAACACATTATGATGAGATCGGGTCGTTCGCCGCGACATTTCTATAAAACACTCTTACGGACCGGGTCGTTTGCCTCGGCAACGTCGTGCGTAATATTTGATAAGATCTCTTCGCCTCGGGTCGTTGGGAATTGTTATAAATTAATTAATTATGATGTTGGAGTATATTTTTATTAGTTTTTCATGATTGTTTGACTAGGTCAGATCGATGGGCTTTCGGTTTGAGGTGTTAGAGAGGCATTGGAGTCTGTTATGGAATTTCAGAGCGAGTTAAGTCTCTTGTGTAACCCTGTGAGGAAAAAATTACCCGTAGGTGTTTTATTCTTATGTGTTACATGTTGTGGGAGCTACGTACATATGAGGTGACGAGTGTCCGTGCATGTGCTAGAATTCTTGATTATGTCCGGGTAGATTTAGGTTCACGACATGCTATAATTTTACTATTTGAGTTATCTTTGCTCGTTTAAATTTCTTTATTTCGCATTACGACTCGAGACTAGACTTGCATAGGGTGATAGACTCGCTATTGTAGAGATGTGACAGACTACTTGATAATCCGCGGAATAATTTGTGCTTCCCTTATGAATTTCTCCTGCATTGTGCGTATTCATCGCAAGATTTTTCTTAAAATTCATAACTCACACGTTTATTCGTGAGTGGGATCAGGGATCCGTTAAAGCTTCTTATTCTAATGGGATTGGGCCGTTCGCCTCGGCAGGATTATGTAGTACACTCTTATGGGAGCGGGACGTTCGCCTCGACAGTATAATAGATGCATCTATGGTTCGTGCCGTTCAACCCTCGGTAGTGCACATTATGATGGGACCGGGTCGTTCTCCGCAGTATTTCTATAAAACACTCTTATGTACTGGGTCGTTCGACTCGGCAGCGTCGTGCATAATATTTGATAAGAAATCAGCGTATCCGTGTATTTTTTTCCTGATTTGGTTTGTGACGACCTATCTGGCGAGGTCCATTTTATATATACTCCTGTTGAGGAGGTAAGTGCTAATTGAGAGCTTGAGTTTACCATTGAGAGGAGGATTGTACCTCGTATTTATATTAGTTTATACTGTTTATTTACTCTTCCTCATACTTGTTTACTTCTTACTATACATGATTTATTGGACCACTAGTAAGTGTCGATGTCGACCCCTCGTCACTACTTCTCTGAGGTTAGGCTAGATACTTACTTGGTACGTGTTGATTTACGAACTCATACTACACTTCTGCACTTATTGTGCAAGTTTACATTTCTGGTGGTCTCTTGGGCGTAGAGGCGCAACTATTACGGGAACTTTACGGTGATTTGCATTCTATATCACACGTTATTTATATTCTCTTGTCTAACTTGTATTCTAGACAGATGTTGTATTTTATTATATTTTCTAGTTGCTGCTCATGCACTTGTGACACCAGGTTTTGGGGGTTCCTACTGGATGTTTAGTATGGTAGCTCACGCAATTATTATCATTTCACCCTAGAATCTTTATTTTATACTATTTAATTAATGAGAATTATGATTTCAAGTAATAAAAATGAGTAATTAAGTTGATCAATCACCGTTGGCTTGCCTGATGGCGGTGTTAGGCGCCATCACGACCTATAATGGATTTTGGGTCATGATAAGTTATTAACTAATTACTTTAATTTGTTAGTTAATTAGTTAAACACGAATCTTAATATTTATAACTTAGAAATTGTTCGAGCTTGCTTTCTTAGTAATATTGAACAGTTATAGCAAAACCTTAGTTTTCTGTGAGATTCGACTCCAAACTCTTAGACTGGATTATATTTGCAGCGACCGCTTATCCTACTTAGTACTAGAGTTAGGCGTGGTCAGTGCTAGTGAAATGGAAGATAATGGATGCCATATAATTACATTGTTTTGCAAATAGCTTTGATAGGTATGACGTACAATTTTGAGACAACATATTTTTTTTTTTGAAGTATTTGGCTAACTATGAACAAGGTGTACATAATTAATCCGAAAGTAGATTGTATAAAAAGTAATAACTACTAGGAAAATATTACAATCGAGTTTTACGACGCAATTAGAACGTAAAGAGGTTTCATGGAGAAGGTAATGATGAATGTAGCTTGAGTTTGCAGTATGTCTATGACTATGCTTCCATTCTTGTGGTAGTAATCTTTGTTTTTTAACCCTGCCTAAGAGCTTCCCAATTTGCTCCCTTGATGATCGAACCCGCAAACTTAGATTTGAAAGTGTAGGGTGCTTACCATTTGAGCAATTTTCTATAGTTTTTATGGTAATAATTAATTATAGTGCTCTATGCAAAAATAAAATAAAATAAAGGCATTTAAGTACTATGCTAGTACAATCGAGAAGCTTCTTCATATGATTTAAATTGCAATAGAGGTAAAAATACGAAGTGATTTTTTTTCACCTATTCAAATTCCGGTGGATAATAGGATAAGATACTCGATATTCATATTAAAAGGAACGTAGCATGGGAAATAGTATAGCGTACACACAAATTACCCTGAATACTACGGTATACAAAAAAAGATAACCGTGATTAAAGAATTTTCAGCACAAACGGACACTTTTTGCTAACTCCCAAACTGACTCGGACTCCCCAGTGTGGCTCGCGTTTGAGAAAGCATGAGTGAGGTCATTAATTACGAGTGAAAGAAACCTAAATAAAGAACACAGCTTCAATCCTCTATTCTTTTCCAAAAAAAATGGGAAGACCAAGGCCGATCAAGCTTCAGGCTAACCTTCACTATATATGCATTAGCACTTCCATTTTCTGTTGTATCCGACCCAAGACATGATGGACCCCCTTTTGCCTAAGACTTTCAACTTCAAAGGTAGAAGCTGTGAAGCCTCCTTCTGATAAAATATCAAGGAAAAGAGAAATAAGATACTTGATCAAATTGGCATATGATTCAGGTACAATAATACCTAATCACGACTACACGCCCCAAGAAAATTAAAACACATAGGAGATTGGTACAATGGAACAAAATGAGTTCTTCCTCCTGCCGAATAGTTCCATAGTACTTCAGACCTCCTATTCTAGCCAAATGTTGAAATGAGGAAACTCTTGTAGATGCTCATGAATTTGGCCACAAATGCTGCAAAACAAATCAAAAATGGAAGGTACCAAAATGAGCTCGTAATATATCTTGATCTATATTTCAGATGTCAAACTACAGCTGAAATAACATCTATACATAACACACTCCCAGTCCTAACATTGTAAAAGCTATTTAACTCCCACAAAAAAATTCGTGTTTAACCACTATATGTATGCAATGTAGCATAATTATAAACATCAATGACACTTATCGAATTAAGTATGTTTGCCTCCGCCAAACAGCAGAGTATACAGTCATAGACCTGAAGATAAATGCTGATGAACAGAGTTGAGCAATCCTCTTGCTTCCATTGATTATCTTCCCGATTGTAATGAAAGCACTACCATCGTTTATCGATAGTAATTGTTGCAGTATCACCTGGGGGATATCATCCCGTCACCATGGGTGGGAAGATGATAGAATCTAATTGATTTTCATGGCTCTTAATTGGGTTGTTTAACGGTGTAAAGTAAATATATTTTCAATTCATATTGAGCCCCTTCCCTCATCAGTAGTCAATTTGCGTTAAATCCCTTAAGTTTCTCAGCTCCAAGTTACCAATGTCAGACTAAAAGTAGGAGGACTAATTAGGAGAACAAAAATAGCTAATGTTTTTAACTGTTCAAAAACTTATTTCCTACGAAACAGGCAACCCCATAACAATTGAAGTATTATTCCTTAGCTTCAATCATTCTATTCAAGTTGTCCATCAACACTCTTCACACACTATCATGCACTCAGTCACTTATAAATAATGGGAAGAAAATGATGCTCTCAAAATAATAGCCAAAAAAATGTATATTTTTGTATAATTTTTTGTATATATATACATTTCTGTATATTATATACAAATAATATACAAATTTTATTCACTTTTGCGGCTTCCGGATGTAAATAGTTTCGGCCGCGGGCTAAAAGTGATCTTTGCCCAATAATGAATTATGTCTATATCCTAACCCTTTGTCGATATGCTCGCTATGATGCTGGACAGGAATTTAAGTATATTAGACACGCAGTTGATCAAAATATGAGCCCGTTTGGATTGGCTTAAAAAAAGTGACTTTTAAGTTAAGTGCTTAAAAGCATTTTATAAGTGCTGGAACTTGTTTTATAAATAAGAAATTACGTGTTTGGATAAAAGTGCTGAAACTGAAAACAAGCTGGTGAAGTGTTTGGTAAACAAGTGCTAGTAAGCAACTTTTCTTGTTAAAATGACTGAAATATCCTTAAAGTTGTTAACATTATAAAGAAGATGATGACTATAATATTATATTTTCCGTTCATAGGTTCAAATTCAGGGGTAACACGTAAATTCATTGAATGATTTGATTTTAGAATATAGTTACACCAATTAAAAAAAGAAGAAAGATTCAACGACCAAAAAAATTAAATGTTATGGAACCAAAAAAAGAAACTAAAAGAACAATATTTACAAAATATTGAATGTATCAAACATTATTTAAAAAACTACTGTTTGCTTCACGTTAAGAACTTCAAGAAATTGACAAATATTGGAGAATGACAGTAGCAAAGGCAAGATGAAGAACGAAGATTAGAACTGACATAAGGAATGTGACAGGGAAGGGAGCAGCACTGGAGAAGAAAGAAAGGAAAGGGAAAAGAGGGGAAAATAATGAACGAAAGTGTAAAGAAAAAAATGAAAGGAAAAGAGAGAAAAGTTATGGAAGAAGACGCAGAAGAAAACAGAGGCTGCTGCAACAAGAATGGAGAAAAGAAAAGATAGTATGTTGCAGGGTTTTCTACTGAGGGGTAATTTCGGGATTAAGAAAAATTATAAGGGATAAGAATGTAATATCTTTGGTCAAAGCAATATGGCTTTTAAGCCAATTTCGAAAAAGTTGGGTTTTCCAACTTATTGGAGATTTTAACTTTTTTTAAGCCTTTTTTTTTTGTTGCCAAACACTTCCACAAGTTAAAAACTGCTTAAAAGCTGGTTTAAGCCCATTCAAACAGGCTCTATGTATTCAACTATATGGACAATGTTGTAGAGTCAATCAAGCGGGAAGCTAATAAATTCCTTCCTACTACAATCTTCCAAGCTTCTAGTATCTTTTGTTGCTAAATCCCAGGTATCCATGTCTTCTTGTATTTGTATACGGGTGAAACCGAGACCGCGGGACGCCTCAATTTTCAATGAAGTAAACAGAGCAAGAGACGTGACTGCAAGGAACCGGAATCGAGACAAGGAGCTCTCGAGTCGGGGTCCGGGCAAAACGCCTACCCTCGGAAGCATCGGAGCCACGACCCCAGGTTCGATTCGAATCCCAAAAAATCTCGGAGAGCATTACCAGATAATCGAGCACGACTAACAAAGGGCCGTGATATCCGTGACCAGCCGGATGTCACAGCGTGAATATCGACACGTATCGGCAGAAAATCGGTGATTAGTAAAACGGAAGATTTTTACCTTTTATGAAATTGTACTTAGGGTAAAACTTCCCTACTATATAAAGGGGGGGGTCTGATTATTCATTAGCAACATTGTAACACGCATATCAACACAATATACTCTTATTTTCTCTGTTATTCAAAGTTCTTACTTTTGTTCATCAGTTCATCATTAACGTGAGCCCGGGATCGAAGGCAGGCATTCCATTAAAGCTGCTACTGAGTCCGGGATCACTTCCCTTAATTGGTTTGACAATTTATTACGTCCTTTATATGTTAAATTTAATCTAACGCGATTCCTCATTTGTATTGAATTAATCCGCATATCCTTAAAACCACTTATAAATTTAATTGTTATCCGTTTTTAGGGTAAACAATTTGGTGCCCACCGTGGGGCTAAGGATAATAGTGGCAATTTGATAAAAATTTCCATAACACTTTATTTTACACTTGTTCTTTGAGTTTTTAATTTCAGGTCAAAATTAAAAATGTCGAACTCTCAATCTGCCCATTTGAACATGGATGCTGAGTCTAACCACCATGGCGAGAACAACGTGGTACCCAGCAACGAGGTGCCCCTTGTTGACCCCAACGGAGTCCTAGTCGCTGATCCGGTCGATGCTAACTCATACGTGGCTATCGAAGCAAACTTGCCTACCGACCCCGAAAACAACATTCGCGGGGGAGCTCGGTCGATAGCCCGGAGTACACACGACGGCGAAGGTGATGGGATCAATTTGCGCGTGATCTTCGAAACAGGCTCAACAAGCAGCGATAGCCAAGTTGCAGAACCAAAGTCGCGCTCCCAGCAGGGTTGAGCCCGAATCATCCCGAAAAAACGCTCGCAGACATGAACCGGCCACAGAAAGGCCGGGTGAAGCAGAACCCGGGACCAACCCTGAGATAACAAAGATGCTTGAGGAACTGACAAAACGGGTGGAGTCGGGAGAAAAGAAAATCGAAGCCAACGACAAAAAAGTACAGACCTATAACTCTAGGGTCGATCAAATCCAAGGAGCACCACCGATAATGAAGGGCCTGTATTCCAAGAAATTTGTCCAAAAGCCTTTCCCTTCGAGCACAGCTCCGAAGCCGATCCCAAAGAAGTTCCGTATGCCCGAAATTCCGAAGTATAATGGGACAACTGATCCAAACGAACATGTGACCTCCTACTATGCGCCATCAAGGGGAACGACTTGGAAGATGATGAAATCGATCCGTTTTGCTGAAAAAGTTCGGGGAGACCTTGTCAAAAGGAGCTATGATATGGTATCACAACTTACCCCCTAATTCTATTAACTCGTTTGCTATGCTTGCAGAAGCCTTTGTAAAAGCACACGCCGGGGCCATCAAGGTCGAGACCAGGAAGTCAGACCTTTTCAAGGTAAAGCAAAGAGATAACGAGATGCTTAGGGAATTCGTATCGAGGTTTCAAATGGAACTGCCTCCGACTGCAGACGATTGGGCCGTTCAGGCCTTCACCCAAGGACTCAATCCCCAAAGCTCATTGGCTTCAGAGCAGTTGAAGCAAAATATGATAGAATACCCGGCGGTAACTTGGGCCGAAGTCCATAACATGTACCAATCGAAAATCAGGGTCGAACCTCAGCTCGGGGCCCCTTCCGGGTCCGTCTATCCCGCCCGGACTAGTGACAGATCCAAAAGGGCCATCGATCATGAACCAAGATCGAACAGAGATCGGTATCAACCATAGAATGGAGATCGAAGGGGTAATGGGTCCGGACGCAACACTGTGAGAAGCGAATGAAGAAGCGACCGAGGTCATAATAACCGGGGACTCATGAGCAAAAACGATTTTGACAGACCTATCGGGTCTAAGGAAGCACCAAGGTTATCGGAGTACAACTTCAACGTCGATGTTATCGGCATCGTATCGGCCATCGGACGCATCAAAGATACTAAGTGGCCTCGACTATTGCAATCCGATCCTGCCCAAAGGGACCCCAACCTAATGTGTAAATATCATGGCACTCAAAACCGAAGACTGCCAACAACTGAGAGAAGTAGCCAAGTTATTCAATAACGGACACCTCTGAAAATTGTTGAGTGATCGAGCAGGGACTCCAACAAGCAGATCGAGCAAGAGGAACCTCAGCATATCATCAACATGATCATTGGTGGGGTTGACGTCCCCCAGGGGCCGATGTTAAAGCGCACTAAAGTGTCGATTACAAAGGGAAAAACAGACTCGAGATTATGTACCGGAGGAAACCGTATCTTTCAGCGATGAAGACGCTGAAGGCATCGTGCAACCACACAATGATGCACTGTAATATCTGTACTCATAAATAAATCTCGAGTTAAGCATGTGTTAATTGATCCAGGTAGCTCGGCCAATATCATCGGATCGAGGGTCGTGGAACAGCTGGGTCTACAAGACCAAATTGTGCCTGCAGTTCGAGTTTTAAACGGGTTTAACATGGCATGTGAGACCATTAAAGGGGAGATAACCCTGCCGGTAAACACTGCCGGAACCGTTCTAGAAACAAAGTTCTACGTGATCGAAGGAGATATGAGATACAATGCCCTATTCGGGAGGCCATGGATTCACAACATGAGGCCAGTAC